TGCAAAGTTTAGAGCGATGTGGAGCACTGACCTGGAAGTTCTGAGACGTCACACGTTGCGACCAGTTTGAGAGGCCACAACACAACAGTATCCTTGTGACTCAATAAATGGCACTCCAGGCGGTACAGAATCATATGTCGCTGAACTTACAATCACACTCTGTACGTTTTGCCAGCATCACAATTTTTATTCTCGTAAATTATAAATTGGGGCAGTATGACCTTATTTCGCGACCTACTCTAACCTTTTCGGTCACCTACAATGCTATGCATTCATATAGAAACACAGAGCGATGGGTTTTCATTTGAGAGCAAATGCAGAAACATTTTGCCTCCTAATATTCTTAATATTTCCCTAAGTTTGGTATTCAGGTTGCACTGATTTGTCCCTTGTTGACCCATTGGAAAGAACAGTTTTATGTTTACCCCATATCACGTCTTTCGTTTTCCACACAAAGTTGTACCAAAGTCAGACATAATTACATTAAACCGTAAACATCAAATGTCAGCATGACACCGTCGCTGAGGGCAACGCCAACACTCTGGCGCTTCAGAGCACACGCTCTGGAAATGACGAGATGACCCGATTTACCCAGAAAACAATGTTTATTCCATACCATATCCTTTGCTTTCCACATCAAAGCTACGTCGAATTCAAACATCACTACAGCTAACCATTAACGGCAAATATAATCATGACACCGGCGCTTAGGGCAGCGCCACCACTCTGGTGCTTCAGAGTACGCGCTCTGGAATTGAAGAAATGACCCGAATTACTCAGTGCACACTTTCAACCGAGACTGAACATAAATTTGGCGCGAACACATCGACTGGAAGCCGATCTCGCGGCGAAGAAGGCGACGCGGGCGGAGAAGCGGGCCAGTGTCCGACCGGCGCCGGGAGGACCGAGCAGGAGGACAAACCGATCAAGGGTCGCTGACTCGGGCCAGTTTAATGTAAACCAAAAGCCAGGATATCCCGCCCAGACACGGTCCAGATGAAGAACATCTGCGCCGGATGGGCGCGCATGCACCACGAGCGGTCCAATGTGCCTTTTTGCGGAGAGGCAAGGCCGACCCTCTAGCGCTACTCACCAAGTCGTGCGACAGACCCAGCGTGATGTCCTGGAAGCTTTAAAGGCAGTGTCGTATGTTACGCCAATATTTGGGATCAATAACAGACACTGGAGAGCGGAACGGTCTGCTTAGATTTTGCTTCACCAGAAAACGAGGACGTCAGCCTTCGGACCCTGGCACACAGTCTTGTCGGCTTTGCAAGTGATCAATGGAACTTTCATTTATAAAACACACAACACACAACACAAACACACAACACACACACACACACACACACACACACACACACACACACCCACACACACACACACACACACACACACCACACACACACACACACCCACACACACACACACACCCACACACACACACACACACACACACACACACACACACACACACACACACACAACACCCACACACACACCCACACACACCACACACACACACACACACACACACAACACACACACACAACACACACACACACACCATCAATGCACGCCATAATGAGGCGAACATGAGGGGAGGGCCAGAACTACTATGTACCCTGTCCCTGCATACGGTAGCACGTGACATCAGCGGTGTAGCTTGTTATTCAGTCGGGTGCACTCCAGCTCCCCCCCCCCCCCAATTTGGCTTTCAGCCCTTGTCCTCAGCTTTGAGAAGAATGTGGGCCAAAGGCGAGAATACACGCTTTTTGTCACATTTTTAGGGGGCAGGCTGTTTTTCACTGCTCAGGCCCCCACTCCTACCCCCGCCACTCCAACTCGTTTTTCGAAAACTATGCCCCTGCGTGCTATGTATGTGCAGTAATGCGCATTGATGATGCCGCGCAATACACGATGCCCGCTGAATCGCTTCAGGATGCTTCCTTTTCAGTGCATTCTAGCGCATATATGTAACCATGGTTTAAGTTTATGTACAGACAATGCATCTGTTTTAGGCCTCGCGCCATTCAGCATTCCAATGTCACGTTGGCATTATGCAAAGCGTTAGCATCCGGCGGCATCGCAGCCCACCTTTGCGCCGCGACTCTGCGTGTGATGGCCATCGCCAGCGGTAGGCGGGTGTGGAGCACCGTCTGAGACCCTCTGCAGCACCTGGGCGGCGGGCCTGGTTCTTAAAAACAAGAAGAAAATCTGGCTACTAGTGATCGCGTTCCGTGTGCAAGAATCTGTTATTTATTGTCCCGTTGTTAGTCGCTCATAACTCTTGTTGGCTATCAAAAGGCATGACAGCCCTTAGGTGCGCCCACAGCAGCACTAGCATAGGTGGACAAACGTGTGCATATTGCATATGCACACAAAAAACAGATATTTCAATGAAAATGGTTGGTGGCTCTCAAACTGCATTGCGCTTCGACGGTGGCGCCGCCTACGTCGCGGGTGGTAGCTATGCGACCGGCCGTCGTGTGGTTATTGCGACCGCATGTCGGACCACAGATGAGTCGCCTAACCTTTCAGCAGTCATCGAAACCAAAAGAATCTGGGTCACCGGAAGCTTACTTAAGGTCCGCTGAACAGCGCACACGTTTTGTACAAGCCATCGAAGGTTACACGCGGCATGCAATTAGTTTCAGTAACATCCCTGGTTCTGGCTGGCTCAGAACATCTGCGCTCTTTTCGAGGTTGTTGTTGTTTGGTTCGGGAAAATCGGCAGTGCCCTTCTTGCAACGTGAAAGCGTGGAGAAGAGATGTGTTGACAAGAATGCGACATAGCTTTAGACGAAATTTGTGAGGCTGTTGAAAAGGGTTTCAAGGAGTTGTTAGAGGACGAACCGGCTACTTGGAGCAGCCAGCGAATGAAAGTATCGTACCATGCACAATTGGACTGGCTACTTTTTCCACCACAAGCCCGCCTTTTGTTCTTCCCTGAAGAACAGACCCTTAGCAAAGCGTGGGGACCATGCAATGTTTGTAAACCACTCAACACGAAATTCACGGTATCAACGGACCGTTGCGATATTTTAGGGACGATTTAGAACGCTTTGTGAGCTTATATGTTGGACACAGATGCGCTGTTTGATCAGCACAGAAGCATGCTTTCGATAATGGTTGCACTATCTCTTAGACTGAAGGAGCGTCGTGTGACACTGCGTTCATGGAACAATACCCGTCCGTTCGCGCTCCGCCGGCTGAAATTGACACGTCTCCCGACTCTTACGGCTAGACGGGCGGAGTTCTGGCGCCTTTTTTGTAGGGCCATCGTACCGCACGAGACATGTTAAAATGACGTCAACTTCAATTTTTTGCTGTGGACATGAATTTGCGGGTGTGAGAGGTGTAGTAGAACGCGGCTCCTACACACTTGCACTAAATGTTAAAATCCTATGCTGATTGATTATTGAAATCTGGGACATTGAGGAAAAGAACACTTATGATGCGTGAATGCGTTAGAGCCCACTGAAACTGCTGAATTTTAGACGCGTGTTTCAGTCACGAAAGTTACTGCGGCCACGACATCTGGCGTGCCGCATCCCGCCCGAGATCTAGCTGGATGGTTACACGGAGCGTCTCGAAGTGAGCGCGCCCCGGACCGAGGCGTGTCGGCGTTGCCTGCAGCCGCAGCGCCACCGGCGGGCGGGCGGCGGCGGGGCGGCGGCCCGCCAGTCTGTCGCGCAGGTGAAGTGCAGTGAGGTGGTACGCCATCCCGCCGCGACGTCGAGGGGGCGGCAGGCTGGGCGCCGGCCGCGCGGTGTCTGTCGGTGGTGTGCTGCGGTCTTGCGTCTCCGCCGGCTCGTGGTGAAGCGACGCTGCTTGCGCGCGGGTGGTGGCAGGGATAATTTGTTTGACGTATGATCATGTCGGTGCGTGCTCGCATTTCAAGCAAAGTACCGACTCAGACTTTTGACCACATGTTTGATGTTTATCCTCAAAGTTGCGGTCTTTTGTTGCCATCAGGCAAATATCAGCGAGTCTACTGAGGAGGGACGCATTTAGGCTCACCGAATGCGTGCCCTCTCGCCTCGCTAGACTTACCACCCAGTTCAGCACCGTTGACCCAGAACGGCGGGTTCGCTCTCCGGGAGTCTGCGCATTCGCCAGGCTTTCGGTGCCTGCCGCGTCCCACTTGCCGCCGCTGCGCGCCGGACCAGAATCACACCCCGAGAGCCGCGCTCGCGGCCGGCCTCCGCACGCGGCGTCCGCTGATCCGCGCCGCGATGCTGGCTGACAAGCATCGCGGCATTGAGACCCCACAAAGCCGTGTGCCGTGGCGGGCCGGGGGTAGCACAATGCCGGACCTTGACCAGCACGCAGGCGGCGCCTTCTCCACCATCCGGCGTGGCGACGCGTGTGTGTCCCGGGGCCCGCGCCGGGGCCGCGTCGCTCACCTCGTCGTCGTCGATTGCTGAGGCCGCGCCGATGAGCGCACCCGTTAGGTCTGCTGGTGGTGGCTGGGACGCGATGGTTTTGTGGCCTGCTGTTGTGGAGCATCGGTTGGGCCACAGAGCGGGACGGTGTGGTGCTGAGGTGTGCGTGCTTCTCTTGATTGCACATACACTGGAATCTTTCCTCTGTAGAGGGGGCTTGAGGAAAATCGGGAGTAGTCGTCACTTTTACAAAGCTACCTCATTTCCTGGCACATTTCAAGACACTCAACACAGCAAACCGAAATCGTCAGCCGTTCCCAGCCCCTCCCGTGTTCTTCTCGCAGTGGATCAGGAGTCAGGCCCGTTCCGCCGTGCAGTCAGGTCCTGTCCTGTGTTGTTTGCCGTCCTCGGTTCTCAGGGACTGGCAGGATCCATATCTTGTTGTCGAACGTGTGACAACCAGACCGCGGGGCCAGACGGGCGGCCTCCATCTCTGCGGCGTTAATGGGCCTCATGCGGCGCGAGCGGCTGATTACGACTCGGACGTCCGTCATCCCGCGCCGTACCCCGCCGCCTCTGTGCTGCTGGCTCGGCCTGCACATGTGGGCGAGGAGCGACGCGGACCCGGCGGTGGCGTCATCGCCAGGTGCGCTTTGTTTCGTGCCGGTCGACTTTCCGTCAGCCCCGGCCGCGTTCGCAACCCGACGGGAGTGCATTGCCCCGCGACGTAGGCGACCGCCGGGCCAGGAGGCCGCCGCCACCCACCGTGGGAGCCACGCGTGGCACGCCTGCCTGACTGGGCGGCCATTGAGTGGCTGCGGTCAGTCCAGCTGATCCAAATAGGTATTCGCCAAACCAGTCAATCTCGGCTGTGATTGTAGTCGGACCAGTCAATCTCTGGAATCATTACTCCGCATCGTTTTTGGCGGTCTGGCCGGGGTAATCCAAATCGACGCCCCTCATGGCTCGCAACGAGTACTAGTCTGGCGCCAACTGCCGTCTGCACGTGTCACGCCGGCTGGCTGTGATCTGTCGGGTATGGCCTGGACTCCCGACGCACCCGGCCACCAGCGAAAGTCTGCCACAGTTGCCGGGACCCCGACAATGAACATTTCGGGAGGGCTGCGCTTAGCTGCGTAAGTTATTAATACCGTCGCCGGTCGGGGTCGGGAGGCTTGTTTACCATGGGCTGTGCGTGAGGGGCGGGCGGCGAGGGGCGCGCCGGGTCGGGTTTCACCGGGCCACGGCGGAGCGTCTCAGCCGCTGACGGACCCCACGGCGGCGCTCCGATCGTGGCCGGCTGGCCTGCCGGCGACGGCCGCCGGGCCGATCGGTCAGACCGGGCGCATCCGGCGCGGCGTGTCTCGGCCCTGCCGGCCGCCACTTTCTCCGGCCTGCTGCCCGGTCTCGGCCGTCCGGCCGGCCGGCGGGCGTTTAGGCCGGCCCGGCGGCGCCGGCGCGCCCCGGGCCCAGCACGCGATCCGCCGCGGCACGCCGAGGGCCAGGCCAGGCGATCCCGGCCGTCGCCGGCTGTGGCGGCCGGGACGAGGAGCGTCAGCGGCGCCGCTCACGCGCTGGCAGCCTCACGGCCCCGTTCCCCGAGCCCGTGACTGCGCCGGGCGGCGGGCGTCTGGCCTCTCGCTCACGCCAGCAATCGATCGTGACCACCTGTGGAGAGTGGCACGCGCCGGCAGACCCCGCACGCGCCGGCAGCCCCGTACGCGCCTGCAGCCGCCGTGGGCCGTCTGGCAGGCCGCGACGAGCCAGGGCCGTAACGTCGACGGTGACGAGCGGCGCCGGCTGGTGCGGGCAGAGCGACGCCTGGGGCTCATGAGCATCGGCCTCCAGCCGTGACGAGTTCGTTACTGCTAACGGCTGGAAATCGGGTCGCTCTGTCTCCAGCCGCAGGAAATGGCTCGAGTCTATGACTGGAACCGCTGGCCAGCAAGACCCAACATTGGAATTCCTCCGACCGGGAATGGCTTTTGGTGTTGCGTTTAGCAGCTGACATGGAATGGGTTCGCTTTGCTTCTGCCACCAGTCGGGAATCTGATCGCTTTCTCCTATCGTTGTAGAATAGGTGCGCTGAATATCAGCACGCATTGTGAGATGATTCGTTGCCCGGCTGGGCCTAGCGCTGGTGTGGTTAATGCTCTGCTGTCTCCTTCTCGAGGTCGGAGGAGCATGTTATGTTAGAAAGGTATCAGAACTGGTATTGGCAAGTAATCAGTCATTTATCTGAACTGGTAGTTACTAGGTAGTTACCGTTCGAACTACGTGCTCTGTTGCACGCACGCCGTGGTGATTAGCTGCATTCTGGCAGCGCCAAATACGCTGCTTTAGCACAAATTTTAGCTAAGATCACTGACGCATAGCGCGCTTTCGAGTATGGCCGAAGCTCTTCTGTTGAGAGGGCCTCGGACGAATACAAGCGGATTAGAGCGGGGAAAGGCTGCTGGGAGCAGGAATGCTTCTGTTGGTCACCTTCTAACGCACCGTGAAAACCACCTGCTGCCGCCGGCGGCGTGACACGGCCAGCGGACGCCGCAACTCCCGTTCGGTCCGAGAAACTGCAGTCATTGTAGCCGCTATCCGCTTCGTTCGTGGATGATTAAGTGTGCACGTTGTCATCGGCTGAGCGTGGGGCTGTTGAACCTACTGTTAGCCCGATGTGCATCTCGCGAAAGGAGCTGACTAGGTGTCTTAAAGAAGTTCAAATTTCAGTGATCAGTCGGCGCAGAAAATAAGCCAACCGCGGTACGGACACGTGAGGGCGAGTGCACCGCGCCACGGGGCGCTCACGATGCACGCGGTGTTTAACAAGGAGAACAGCAGCCTGATGGGCCACATCGGCTGCGCGCCGCAGGCCGTGTGCAACTTCATGCTGAACAAGGCGCGCAAGACCCGCCGCAGCCGCAGCGTCTCGCACGTGAGTACACCCTGGCTTGCCGTCCGCCGAGGCCCAGTCGACGCCGCGAGGGCGGAGAAAATGTCCGGCCGCCACTTCCCGATGTTTCGCGTGCAACTTATGCACAGTGCACGCCACTGTGAAAGGGTGTACCTGAGCTGTGTAAGTGATGCAATAGCAGGTACTAAGCTGTGATGGGGCGCACGTGTAGAGCAGGATTGTCTTCCTCGAGATGACGAGTGGCTATGGCGAACTCACAAAAAAACCGTGAGCTCGCATAGTTTGAGCATTTCGTGTCTCACGAGTTGACATGCTCCATTCATGGCTTGCTCGCAACGCATTTGACACGCACCGTATTGAAAAACGTCACTTTCGCTCCAACCACGCACTCACCCGAGCACGCCACGCCATGAAACGAAGCTGACCGCATTTAGCTCGATAAAACCCTCCATTGTGGGTAACGCCAAATGAACTGTGACGGCCGGCGGGAGCCGCGGCTCTGGCTGCTGCCCTGACTTCTGCATCCTGCTGGGGACCCCCGATGATCCGCTTCTCTGGAAATCTGTCCACCACGTGGCGAGACTGCGGCGCTGCGGGCGGCAGCCGACCTGCGTCCGGTCTCACCCGGTCAGCCGCGTCTCATCGAGCCGGGCCTGTCCCGCCGGCAAACGCCCCCCCCCCCCCCTCTCCCGTTCCCCCGTCGTGCGGCGGTTGTGCGGTGACGGCGGCCGTTTCGCCAGCGCTCGAGAGCGCCGTGTGAAAGGATCACACGCAGCGGCCAAACGCCCGCCGGGCGTTTGGCCGGGCTGGACACTGGGAGCGGTTTCACCGGGGAAGAGACACACTGCATCGACCGCTGATGTCTGCCATCACACTGCGTTTGGCGCTGGCTCTCTCTCTCTCTCTCTCTCTCTCTCTCTCTCTCTCTCTCTCCTCTCTCCTCTCTCTCTCTCTCTCTCTCTCTCTCTCTCTCTCTCTCTCTCCTCTCTCCTCTCTCTCTCTCTCTCCTCCTCTCTCTCCTCTCTCTCCTCTCTCTCTCTCCTCCTCTCTCTTTTCCCCACTCCCCCTCTACCGTTCTCTCCCTCTCTCTCTATCTCCCTCTTTCCCCATCTACCCTTCTCTCTCCCTCTTCCTCTCTCTCCCTCTACCTTTCTCCCTCCCTCTCTCTTCCTCTCTCTCTCCCCTTCCCACTACTCACCCGAAGTTTCTCATTTCGTCTATTGTTTTATGGTGGGGATGACCCAAGCGATAAGTGGTCCGGCGATAGACATTGCCGGCCACCGTGCGCCGGTCTGACGAGTTTCTCCAGGGTGGGCCAGTTTCAGACTATGACATTGATAGCAGTAGAATCCCGTATTACAGCTACTTGCGCAGATTCCGCCGTGCAGAAGGAAAACCACCGACAGCGGTGACAGTCAGGTGTGACGTAATTGTCGGTATGGATTGGAAGTGTCGTGCAAGGCTTAGCAACCAATGTTCCGCATCAATCGTTCGTGCCCAAAGCGTGGTGCTCTACGGCTGAACTCTCTGGCTGTGTGAAACACAGAGAGCGGATAGCTATGCTCAGGTAACTGTGCAATGTAGCGAATGCACGATATTTTATCCTCTAGGAAAGTTTGCCAAGAACGGCCAGAAATTGTCATATGTGCAGAAAATGACACTGTTGCAACAGTTGCGCACCGCTTGGTTGATTTTCATGACTGCAGCACCGTGTCGGCAACAGAAGCCATGTGATTCTCATATTACAAGGCCAGCACAGGGCAACGAACATCGCCCCAGCGAAATTCGGCCCGGGCGAAAACTAAACGCGGCGTGTTGGAATCTTTCGTCGCCTTTCCATCACGTGGCGGTATGTGACCAGTGAAAGCTTTCTCATGAAGTCGTGTCTCCGGGAATGCTTGAGGGAGCTGCGTGCGGAAAATCAATCACAAGTGCTGCGGACTGAAGTTGTCGTTCGGGCTAAGTGTTTCGTACAAGGACCGGGTGGAGAAGATCCTTTTCCCCACTTTTTGCGAACATTCAACGTCAATGGTATGGTAATGCGTGTGAAAGACTAAGCTGAAAACGGTTCTTGAAACCTCCTCCCGCCACTTTTTCAAGCTTATGCCCCTGCGCTGAGCGTGAAGGTTTTCCTCATTGCGAACTGTCAGGGCTGTCAGGTGTCATGTCGGTCCTCGTTGGCTCGCGCCATTATTTATTGCCTTAACTCAGAAAATCAGTAGTGGCTTTTAAAAGACGAAAGATATCACGTTTTCCCATGATGCTACCCTATAATGGTAAACTTTCAGGCATTCCAGTGAACAACTTACTTTCTAAGCTCTCCAGGTTTATTGTTGACCCCAACTTCCCGGCCGTAGTGGTCAGCTTGGGGTTTGATGTTGGCGTACCGGCTGGGTGTGATGCCAGGGTGCTGGTCCGGCCTCGTGCAGAGCGCCGACGAGTTCTGATGTTGGCGTTCCAGCTGGGTGTGATGTCGGGGTGCTGGTCCGGCCTCGCGCAGAGCGCCGACGAGTTCTGACGTTGGCGTTCCAGCTGGGTGTGGTGTCAGGGTGCTGGTTTGGTCTCGTGCAGAGCGCCGACGAGTTCTGATGTCGGGGGGCCGGGGTGATGCGCCGTCTGGATGTGGTTTGATGTTGGCGTACCGGCTGGGTGTGCCGTCGGAGAGCTGGTCCGGCCTCGCGCAGAGCGCCGACGAGTTCTGATGTCGGGCTGATGTCGGGGGGCCGGGGTGATGCGCTGTCTGAATGCCGGTCTGATGTCGGCGTCGAGAGGAAGGATCCCACATGATGGATATGTTGCTTTGTCACGGCGCTAGCGTTACGCTAAGGCAACATTCTCTTCCGTCTCTGTGGGGGACCCACTGGCTTACGTCACCGCGCATGCTGCGACATCTGGAGCTGGGGTGATATCATGCAGCCTGCTGACGAAGCCGGACGTCCTCTGCCGGAGCGCAACACATGTGCTCTAGTCAGCCGGCTAGGGACAATAGACCCGGTATTTTTCAGGGAGGTGTTCTGCATCCACGCCTTTTTAAGGAAATCTCCAACATTGCCGTGCAGATTTATAAGTCATTTTTTAACGGCAAGAAATCGCTGGATCCACCCGAACGTTATTGAGATAATTACGTGCTTGATAAAATCCTGCCGAAATGATTTCGCTCACCTCCTGATTAACGAAATCGGCGCATAATTCAGAACATATCGAAACGCGCCAGCCGACATGCCTTTTGGCATGCACGCGGCTGGTAGCGGCATGGGAATGAAACCATCCGGGTGAGACGGAGTCTGGTGTGGGAAGCGAATGGTCACTGGCGCTCCGCCATCAGGACATATGAGGCGTGCCGTCAGGTCAGGTCAGCTAGCCACCACCGGTCCTGAGGGCTGTCCCCGCGCGGGCGCAGACAGGACGAGGCCAGCCATGGGCGACAGATGGGTAGAAAAACTCATCCTGGAGCGAACGCTCTCTCTTCGAAAGGCGCAGTGAGAGCGCAGGTTTTTGGGGCTGTGCTCAACGTGATCAGCTGGTGACGTCGGTGGACACGGCTGCTCCGGTTCCGGTGGGCTTTTCTTGGCTGACCAAACCACCGAACCGGCAGCCCTGCAGACGCCCCGGAGTATATATATATATATATATATATATATATATATATATATATATATATATATATATATATATATATATATATATATATATATACGTGCGTGCGTGCGTGCGTGCGTACGTGTGACCCACCTGCTGCTCTCTGTTCGCCGGTCCAGCTCGACAGGACAAATGATCCAAATCAGTGACGCCCGGCCAGGAGGTAAACGAGCGACGCCGCACACTGGGGCGTCTTGCAACATCTTGTAGCTTGCTTTCTCTGCGGCGCGCGCAAGCCGGACGCGTGGGACGCAAGTTCTTGCCTCAAGATTCAGCAAGTGACAACAGCCACAAGCGATGGCAGACAACCGGTTGCCCGTCGGGATTTCGCCCTGCCAGACCCGTCCTAACGCACGGAAAAACCTTCCGAAAGGTGAACCCATGCCGTGACCTGGTTCGCGACAGCCGTCCTGCGGGCTGTGACCGTGTGTGGAGTGACTGCGGTTGACGCGCTGGTGCTCCGGACCGAGCGGCGCCCCGTGGAGCCCGCTCCGTTCGGTGCTCGCCGAGGCGACCGGGTCGTGCGGCCGGTGCTCGCCAGCCGGCACGGGCGGCCTGTTTTGGCCGGTTTGGCGCGCGCGCCACCGAGAGCCGCCGCCGGACGGCCCTCACGGGTCCGCTCGGCCAGCTGGGACTGGGCACCGCCAACAACTGGTTCCGCGACAGAGGGAAAGTGCTGAGCGAATGAAACGGCGCGATGGCAACCTGTTCTGAAACTGACTTATTTTATCGGTGCTCGCCGAGTGTACGTTTTACCGTCAGCAATATCGTTTTAGCCCAAAACGCAGACGGCTGCATAGCATACGTGCAGAGCAGCTGGAGGACCACTGCTCCGTGACTCCGAGCAAGTTTCAACAAACAAATATATAGTCTTGCACAGATGTAAGTCGTGCTTGGCAGTTGTAGCCCACCAGTTGCCCTGACATTTTCACATTTCCTCTGATCGTTATTTGCCTCCACATCACATGATTGGTTGGAAACGCGTGGTACTTACGCGCACCTGCATGTACGCGACGCGACTTCGGCGTCAAGATTCATGTCTTCGTTTTTTAGAGGGATCTGCCGCCCAGGAGCCGCAGAGTCAGCCCCCATACTTTGCTTCGCGTTGTTCCCACCCCCAGGCACCGGACATCGGACGCATTACCACCGCGTAACAGTGGACTGCGTTGGTGCCGCGTAACAGTGGTGCGCTGATGAAAGGCGTGATATTCGTGTAGTTTTACCAGATGCAACGACTTAATTCTTACAACGTAGGTAACGGTGATCCTTGACAAATTATGCAAGGTTGGCTTTCAACGAGATAAAAGTATTCACGGTATCATTCGCTGGAATGGTGCAGCCGATGTTGTTGCCATCACAACCGCTCGTGTGTCAACCAAGGGATTAACATGATGTCCTGCCCGCCCAGACCCCGTCCAAATCGGGTCAGCGGGGACTTAACAGCCATATCCTTGTCGCCATTTAGGCAGGCAGAAAAACGTTGACAAGTCGTCAAGAGAAGTTGCCGATCGTCACTGGTTTGGAGCACCACCCGGCTTATGTGCTGATGGATCGGCACTTTGTGTTGAACACATTGCGATACCACCCCGTGAAGCTTGAGGGTCACGGTGTCGTGATTCGGTTGAGTAATCCATCATTTCTTTCATGGAGCCATACTGCCAAGCAGCAAGCAACACGATCAGAAATAATCGCCTAAAAGTGGCACCAAATTGCTTAGCTTCTGGGCTCGTTCACATGCGGTGCCAGCAGACGATGACGTCACCTTAGCCAGTCAGTTCGTGTGTGGCCCTCTCACCCTGACCATTCTCGAAGCCATGCTTTCGTTCTCCGCTCCGTGTGGCGCACGCCGTGGGTTGACCCCTGCCCGGACGGCCGTCTGCGGTGTGACCCGAGCGGTGTGACCCGCGCGGCCGTCCGCTCCGCTCCACTGCGTGACCCGTCCGTCAGCTTTGCTCCACTCCAGCCGCGGTGCGGCGGGACCCTGTCAGACGCTCAAGCCGCAAGCTACTGCTCTTTCACTGAAGAAACTCTTAATACACCCACCCAAGGTGTAAGCCCGCACTACCGGTGCAAATGATTTCGTGAGAAATTACGCCTCTGGGCGGGTGTTGGTAAGCATCTTATAGCCCACCCATGTTGCGCGCGCAGACGGTGGCGGCGTCTCGGCAACGGACGACGTGGACGCCGCCGATCGTAAGCCTCCATAAGCATCCAGGTGACGCGTGACGGCCGGTGTAGGCCCGCCGTCAGACCGGCGTCCGCGCCCCGCCCCGCGGCCCGTGACGTCAGCTGACCTTGAGCGCCACAGCGCGGCTGGAGCGCCGTGCCGCGTTCGCTGCAAGCTGTGTTCCGCGCCGTATCGCGCTGCAGCACCGGAGCGGGTGTCGCGCTGCGCCCTGACGCGAGCGCGGACTGTCCGCAGGGCCGGTCCCAGCGGCGGGGGTCGAGCGACGACGACGAGCCGGCACATGATGACGTCATGGTCGCCGAGAACGTGACGAAGGTAAGGGCACCTGGCGCGCCAGGTAGCAGCCAGCGTAGTTTACATTGGCTCAACCCTTTCACTCACCTGTTTTTGCCCCCCCCCCCCCCCTTAGCGAATTCAGCTGGCCTGTCACCGCTCGCCAAGGAAAAGGGCTTTTACATGACGCGACCGTGGTTCTTGCGGATGGGCGAAGCGGGATAGCCGGAAGGCCCTGCTGTTACATACACGGGTTCTCCCATCATACCCGCTTAGAATGTCGTTAGGACATGTATTTCAATGGGCGAAGTCTCATGATATTACATTATGCGAGTGAACTAAATTGTTTGAGCATTTTCCATTTGAAAATAGTAAGAAAGCGCTGCTGTAGGTGTCCTCTGAGCTCTGTTTATTTCCTAAAAAGTGACCCAAATTTACCAAACCCGTCCCTTCAAAACAGTGGCATAACCAGGATTTTGCTCGAGAGGGGGCCAAGTAGGGTCATATGGGCCTTTTGAGACAAGGGTCTGTCTTTGACGCTTCGCGACACAGTGGTTTATTCGGATGGCGAATTAAACTCGCAACCGTATTTCGATAGGTGGGGGCCCGTTTTTATGTTGTAAGACCTGCGGGCGCCGTAAATAGCCAAAACACTCTGAGCCCATGGACTCAAGGAATGTATGTCCTCTTCAGGGGACCATCGCCCCAAAAGCACGCCTACCTGACTACGCCACTACAGCAAAAGCTGTTACGCTTCTCAAGGGCTAACAAAGCGTTGCACTCCTGTTTAAGTTGAATCACAAGAAGTACAGCTCACCGACGCTGTTCTCTTTAAGCCGACGGGCGGGGATCCCCAACCCACCGCCAGTAACCGGACCGTCCAGCCACTTCCCGGCCACGCACTCGTCATAGCGCCGCTGCGGCGCACAGCTAAAACACTGCCCCGTTCACCGCACGCGGGATGCTCGTGTTTGTCGGCGTCCAAAAGTGGCGCGTACATTCTAGTCAGACTTTTTTGTTATGAAAATGAGGGGGTGGTGAGGTAATCCGCCTGCAGAATGCCGTTCTGAGGCTGCCGCCATTAAAGAGTAAATTCGTTCATTCAAGATCCCTTCCTTGCCTTCAAATCCCTTCTTCTTGCCTTTGTTGACAGCGCGGCTTGACACCACTGCATTTAAAATGCATGCCTGATAGTTTCAACCCTAACACTGGAACTTTCCGTGGTTAATTTTCGTCATTCCTATGCATGATTGTTTGAACATGCCTGAAATATTGACGTGTTTCTGCTCTAAACCTGTATTTTGAAATTAACGTATATGATATTCTTAACAACACAGCCTGCGAAACTAACACGAAACATTCCTACGTAATCGCAATCAGACAACCAAAACAAACATATTTTTTCAACCAAACGCGATGTGTGCTATGTATACTCAGGCTCCGTTATCCCACCAAAAAGTGTTTTTCTGGCTTGTTGTGACCTTGAATCGCACGCATGACACAGCTGAGCTAGAAGACAGTGATCTAAGATTGCGCAGTAGTCTGTTCTAAGGCCTTGGCGCGGTAGTCCGTACATGCACGATGCGCGCAGACGTGGTCTGCTCGCGGCAACAGGTTCATGGGGGTTGGGGGTTTATGGGGCTCAAGGAGGTTTATGTTTCCCGGTGCCTGCGTGCGTGCGGCTTCAAACGTGTGAACTGGGAGACTCCGGCTTGAGAGTGGCAGTGTTTGGATGACGTCACACTGCCGGTGATTTTGGGGAGAACGGGCAAGGTTATGTAACGTGTATTGAAAACAGCAGCGAAGACTTGCGGGCGAGCACAGCCTTTCAAGTGAACGGTAAACGCCGGGCGTACAGCGGGCTCCCGACACCGGGGTTGTAGCTGACGTCATGGTGGCGACCTTGAGTTGCCTGCTCTGTTTGAAGGTTGGCTGGTGCTTAGTACCTTAATGGCCTGTTCACACGGGGCGACCGACGCGCGTCTGACTTTCGTCTGCCTACGTCATTGTCTTGCAGATGAGTTAAACTTATCGACAGCTGTCACCGCTGCTCGCAGAGCATGGTGGAATAACGCCGTGCACGTATTACAACGCACAGAACATGCGTTGTAATAAGTACACGTACATCAACTGCATGCCAATAATTGCATCGCCTTAACAGCAAAAACACGCCAAAATGTGCAACGAGCTATCGGTCTGAAGCCATCTACGAGTTGTAAGCTTTTATCCCTATCCTCCAGACACATTTTCAAATGCACGCAAACTTACACTTATTTTGTGTGACTGTCGCTGTGGAGATAACACGTCTTAGTAAAATATATTTCGAAAATATATAATAATATGCCTCGCACATAGGAACCAGTCCGAGCGTCGATAAATGAAATGGCTAAGGCCTGGCACTCAATTTTACCTAACGGCGAAAATTGCGTTGTGACGGTGACAAAACCGCATGCGGGTTTTACCCAACAAATAACGCCAAGGGCCAGGAACTAGTCATTATGTTCAGGGCTGGCTTCCAGTTTTGAATATGGACCGAGTCGTTGACTTTAGGCTCGACGCAGTCAGTTTGTCGAAGCAAGCCCGATCCGAAGGTAGTGTTTGAGTCAGGATTTAGGGCGCTGGCATGCCACAGCAATAGGTGCTCGCTCAAAGACGTGCCAAGCCTACGTAAGTGGGCGTCTTCGGGATGTTCATTGAAGCGTAACAAGTGCATGCGCCCAACGATTTCGCAAACGGCCACACCGGCCCACGCACTAAGAGGGTCTGATGTTGGCTGTTTAGTTCGAAACGCTTTAACATGAGGGATCGCTTCACGCTCATAGCCTGTGAGCTCGTGGCTGCGTATAGATTTGCCTCTGCGTCACAGCGTGTGGCTCGAACACAGATCCTGTTGCGGTGCGTGATTCCACCAGCGCTTCCCACAACTGGCGGGCGGCCGATCAGCCTGGGGCGCGGCGCTGGTCGCGCGACCATCCCAGCTGCCCGCAGTCTCCTCCCCGGGCGTCTCGCAGCCGCGTGTGAGTCACGTTGCGGGAAGGCGCCGACCGTACGGCGCGCGCCGCGACGCCTCGGCCGTCGCTGAGAAGCGGGTCAGCGCCGTCGCTTCCGCTGAGGGTGTTGTGACGTGGTGTCCGCCGCTCGACGGCAGCTCCGGCCGCGTCGCCGCGCGCGCCCACCGCATCCGGGTTTGCGCAAGCACCGTTGCTGGGCTATTCGCAGCCGTGGGTGGTTTCAGCTTGATGTATTCGCACCCGCGAGTGCTGGTACCTTTTGCGCACTTTGAACCGTTACGAAATTCCGTCGGTGAAGCCGTTTTTTCGTTGCACCATCCTCCGCTCGAGCGTTCTGGTCAGTTTTCAACTGAAGTGAACGAACCGGTAGCTGGCCTTACAGGCAAATTATCGCTTTTAAATATAGTTGTCTGTCAAAAGTTCAGTTGATTACCACTGCCCATGCACAGGTGGACACCCAAAAGTCATCTGATCAAGTGATGTACCAATGAAAGGCATTTTGTACTTAACTGTAGTTGCTCTTTATGCAATACTCAGCGAGCATGTAGCTCGAAGAAACACAGTTAATGGTAAAGCTAGGTGCGCTTCTTAGGCCGTACTCAAAGCCTGCGGTGTCTGTCTATATCTCGAAAAGTACGCAGCTCAGAATACGGGTTTAGCGGATCAGACACCTCAGATATCACTCACTCTATGCAGCTGTTCTTGCGCACCGAACCCTTTCCAGATGTTTTCATATGCTGAACACCTGGGTCCGATGGCTTGTGACGACGGTTCGCTACATTTGGCGGCAGACTGTCCAGGCGGCTTCAGTGAAAGTTGATTGTCGCTCGCACGTCTTTTAAAAAACTGTCCTGCGTGACAAACACATTCATACTAGGGTGTTGGGACAGATTGGCTCTTTCCCTTACCGAAAAACGGAGAAGGATGATGATGATGAGATGATTGAGAAGCATTGCAGCAACGGGGAAGGACAGATCAGAAAGTGTTGTCACGAGATTTCAGCGACACTGAAACAGATCGTTTTTTCAAGGTCATATAACAACGGTTTTTCCAATCGTAAACCGAGTGGTTCGATAGTTGTTATTCGAATGGCGTATGCAGGTTCGATTGGTGCATGAAATGGTGTTTTGAGTGGTATATGCAACCGGACGCCCGCGGGCTCGTGTTAAAGGGAACCGTGTGAGAGAATGGTCCTCAAAATTTCGGAGCATTGGTTTTTGAGATGCAGACCAATACAGCGAACTTATTGTACGACTTACGAACCTACGGTGATGTAACCAGGATTCCGTCCAGGAGAGGCTAAATCAGAGCATAAAAGGGCTCATTCCTTCTTTATATAGTTCTTTCTGCGGTCATGTATAAATGATGTGTTTCGTCCTTCCTTTCTGTGTTTCGTCCTGAAACATCCTTTCTGAATCATTTTTTTCTTTTCGCGTGACTATATTTTTTAGCCGACGAAGTTGGCGTGCAGAGAAGTGGTGCGCTAGCGTTGAATTGTGCGAACTAGGACCATTTACTTGCTTGCTGTGCGCGATATAGACTACATAACCTAGCGATGCTTGTTGAATGTCACTTTGTCGCATTGCTCAGGAATGTAATGTAATATGAGTTAAGATGTTACTCAAGCGTATTGAAACGTTGAATGATTGATATTTCATTGGTAACGAGTCTAGACTTTTACTGAGGATCTTTCATGTATGAGATTACATACATACATACATACATACATACATACATACATACATACATACATACATACATACATACATACATACATACATACATACATACATACATACATACATACATACATATATATATATATATATATATATATATATACACCTGTATTTATATATCTACTGCCGTTCCCTCCTGTTCAGGTGCAAGTGTAGGATGTGCCTCCAGCATGGTTGCGACGATCAGGGCTCACTAACCTCGCTTCTGCAGACCGCCATTTCAGTGCGCACGATGCTCATGAACTATTCGTTGTTCAAGAAGAGAGACGACACAGTTTAACTGAAATGGCACAAATTGAATAGTGCGCCATTCATCGGCTGTTTCTATCAGTGGTCACCTGTTGGAGATGACGTTAACTCTGGCGCTGGCTCTCCAGCGGGGAAATCGGCCACAGCTATTGTCACGAACCACCGGAGCGCGCCGGGCACCCCACGACTTCGCTTTTCGCCAGACTTCGCCGTGACCTTGTAGATCCGTTGGGATCAGGTTTTACCGGAACAGCCGGTCGTGGCCGGCGTCGTCTGGCCGGCCGGCACGTGCAGCAGCCCCCGAACAGACGCGTCGGGTGCGCGCCCGGGCCGGACATGGGTGAGAGCTGCCTCGAAGAACGGCTTCATGTAAAAGGTGGAAGAGCAGCGGGTCTTCGGTGTGATGAATTGTCGGCAAGCACGGTGATCGAACGCCCAGCTCTGCGACCAGCGCTTTCCGAGGGGCGGTTCATGTTGCGGCGTGAATATAGCGGTGCGATGTTCTGCCTCGGGGAAGCTAGCGCCCAGTGGAAATCTTCGCTGGCGATACAGGTAGCAGAAGCCGGAAACGCAGCCTTTTTATTATGTGATAGATGGCGCTGCGTGTCAGAGCTTCTGAACTTTCATCCTCTGGTCTGTGCATGCGTTTAAACATTGCTTACCAGGGCCGGCTTTACTGCTATGCCGGGTTGTCATAGGTTTTACACACAAAAACGTCTCCCGCAGCATATTTACCAAAGAAACTGTCTATCCTTCCGTTGTGAAACAACACGTGTATCGGTGAATGAAATTATTGAATGGCGATGCCATACGACCCTGTTATTCCACTTCTTACTTCTTTCTGCGTCATCGCGACGCCCGCTTCTTCAGGGCAGGCGCATGCGCCAGCCACGGGTGAGCTGAGGCTACTGGAGAGGGACCCCGACAGGGTACTCATCGCGCGGCCCGCAGGGGGTCCCTGCGCGGGCTAAGGTTCGACGGTTGGCCTCTCGCGTTCATGGCGACCCGCCTCACTGTTATCCATTCTCATTCCATTCCATTACCCTGAAGTGATTAATTATGGTCGAAAGGGTTCTAATTCAATTACCGAACTAAACTAAATTTGCTCGAGCTTGCTTCGAGCCGCTGCCATGACTAAAAACGTTGTTACCTAGCACCAGCTCAAGGTTTACGCCATTCAGGATAATGGACAGCGGCAGAGGTGGCAGCATATGTCCTATAATGACGAGGATGGCAACTTGATTCAGATTTCTCACTGGCAACAACTGTTCATGCCTGATAGTTCCTCAACAGCGTTGAAAAGAAGCGCTTTGACGTGTTCTTTCAAATGACTTGTGATTTCTCCTAATGAATGTCGACACATCGCTTAAAATCACGTACCACACATTCTTATGCACAATGGTGCTACAAGTTTCTGCTGGATCCGCAAGCGGTGTTCGCTGGCGGCGGGCGTGTGGCGCAGGTCTGTCCTGCCGGGCCTTGTAAATTTGATGGCTCAGTGGCCTCCTTCAGCATTTTTTTTTTTTAGGGCTCCTCGCTTAAACGGATGCGCTTTAAGAGACGCTGGTGCTAGAGTAACGGGCTGATTGTACCACATATATACATCCTTGGGCTTATTAACGGAATGTCGAGGTCACGTACAACCGTTATTACACCGGGCGTAAGCACAGTACCTTCGCACTTAGTTTTTGAAGAAGTTAGGTGTAATTATTTGGCTAATTTGGCTAGTTTTTATTTTAATTTAATTTTAATTATTTGGCTAGTTTTGGCTAATTATTGATTAATTTTTAGTTTGCTTTTGGATTTAAGTATGACTTGTTATTATTATTCTGTTTAGCAGATTGATTGGTCGCCACACGTGAAGCGATCAGATTGCAAGCTGCTAACTTCTGCGGTACATGAGCGCCGCAGAACACGGTATACCCGTGGAGAAAACAGGAGATGTTATGGACATTATGACCAATTAATAGATTTACTGCGTCATACTCGCCGATGTTCTTGTGCCAGAACTTGCCCAGCCACAACACACCTGCGGTGTCCTCACGTGATGGGTAGACGGTAATAATATGACAGATGGCGCAGCCTACGATGTCATCTGGAGACATTGGGCACTGAGACACGCAGCAGGAGGCGTCCGCTGGATCATCCCATTCATAAGATAAACGCTGTCCTCGAAGCCAGCCCCGCGAATCTGAAAGCGCGCTAGGCCCGAGGCTGGTAGCACAGCTGGGATCAATTACCAAGCATGTTTCTGATATGGCCTGGTCACCCGTATTGCTGTGCTGGAGTCTAACCATGATAATATTGACCCACAACAGGCAGACGATGAGAGCCCGCTAAAGACACCCTCTCGCCGACAAACCCAGAGAGATCGCGGAGTCGTCACTGGACGTCGCTGCATGCGTACTAACCGCCTCTGGTGTATGTGGCAGGACCCGGAGCGGTCGGGGCGCCGTCTGTCAACGCTCGTGCACGGCGTGCGCAACCTGAAGCGTCGCCTGGCGGCCCGCCAGCCGCCGGCCTCGGGACCCGAGCGGCGGCAGCACCGCGCCTCGCTCGACAGCCGCAGCAGCGACGGCTCGGCGCTCTCCTCGGCCGGTGAGTAGGTCAGCCGGGCCTGGACCCAGGTCAGAGCCAGAGCCAGAGCCAGAGCCAGAGCCAGAGCCAGAGCCAGAGCCAGAGCCAGAGCCAGAGCCAGAGCCAGAGCCAGAGCCTGGGCCTGGGCCTGGGCCTGAGCCTGAGCCTGAGCCTGAGCCTGAGCCTGAGCCTGAGCCTGAGCCTGAGCCTGAGCCTGAGCCTGAGCCTGAGCCTGGGCCTGGGCCTGGGCCTGGGCCTGGGCCTGGGCCTGGGCCTGGGCCTGGGCCTGGGCCTGAGCCTGAGTCTGAGCATAAGCCTGGGCCTGAACTTGAGCCAGAGCCAGAGCCAGAGCCAGAGCCAGAGCCAGAGCCAGAGCCTTGGCCTGGGCCTGAGCCTTAGCCCGAGCCTGAGCCTGAGCCTGACCCTGAGCCTGAGCCTGAGGCTGAGCCAGAGCCAGAGCCAGAGCCTGGGCCAGAGCCAGAGCCAGAGCCGGAGTCGGAGCCAGCAGAATCCGAACCATCCAAACCCGCTTCTAAGTCACGGAAGGCGCATCTCCAGTCGTGCCTTATATGTAATGCAGCAATCAGCGTAACCAGCCAGTTGCGGTGCAAGCTTTGTCGCATCGCGTGCCGGAGAAAGTGGCGCAGCGCATCTGTACCGCAGCAACTGTAGAACTGCACCCACGGAGATTAGACCGGTTTGTAATGATGAGCCGCGAGTCTACTTATTTCTTGGACTGCATGAACCATGAACAGTGCTTCCCCGACTGGCTGTGCTGCCGGCCTGCTGCGCTGCCGCAGCCTGACGATGTCGGCGCTCCGTCTCCAGGCAGCGAACCGGCGCTGATCGACAGCAACCGGAGCTCACTGCTCTCCAACATGTCCTCGTCCTCGGAGGACTCGGACGGCGGGTACCGGGGGCCGACGGTCGGTCTGGCCCGCGCCCGGGTCGACTACGTGCCCAGTCCGTACGACCGCGAGGCGCTCCGGTTCAGCCGCGGCGACACCATCCACGTCATCAGCATGAACCCGAGCGGCCTGTGGCGGGGCGCGCTGCACGGACGCGTGGGCACCTTCAAGTTCATCAACGTGGAGGTGCTGCCGGCCGAGGAGCGGGCGCGTCAGTCGGCGGCGCCGCCGCTCCAGGGCCGGCCCAGCTCCGTGCCGCATCTGCTGGAGCAGCTCGGCGTGCCGGTCAGTAGGCCATGATGACGCAGCTGCTGCAGTGTCGGTTGCCACATTTCGCGTGATTGTTGTTGAGCTGCATTTGCCCAAATTAACTCGACCTCAGGAGCGTGTTTGTCCCGCTGTCACGCGAACGCTTTGTGGTTAGGAGCCTATCCACACTTAAAGAGGTCGCTAACTGGAGCTATGGACAAATTGAGGCGCCATCGGTTTGTTGCGTGACTTTTGTGACGTTAACTATGATAACGTACCATACCATGAAATTTCCATTTTAAACTGAGGTCGGTGTTGGTTTAGCCGCTGATCAATAGGGTAGCCGCAGAAAGCGGCTAACTAGCCAACCAGCCGGGTCGGCTAGCCACAGGAGGTGACTAGCCGACGTGACTAGTGACTGTGTCTGCACGGATTTCGGCCGTGTATTTGTTATGCATAAGTCGGGTCCGGTAACTATTCAGCCTCGGTTTGATTCGCACAGGCGCGAAATTGATTCAGTTAGATTTGTTTTGTAATTACACGCTAACTGTTTGGTGGTAATGGAACACGTACCGTAAAGTTTAATCCCAGCGGAAATATCGGGAAATCCCATTGTGAAATATAAAAAAGTCTTGACATTTATGGAAAAAACATAAATGACGCATTAAAGCAGCTTATCGTTTGTTGAGGGAGATATCGCGGTTGTTATCGTTTCTTGAAGCCACCTTTGGATTGGCAACCAAGGTTAGCGACTTTTACAGGGTGGCGAGATTCTACCCAAGTAACCCTTCGGCTCCTGCACGGTCGTGCAAGGCCTTGGGAAGTTTCGGAAGGCCTGGCGCAGCTTCGGAACTTTGCGAAAATCATGGGCGATAGGCGTTGTTCTTGGGATGGCGGGATACATTGATACTGAGCTTATCAAATCAAAAAGATGATAAGTACATTGCACACTCCGTGCCCAAGCGTGCAACCAATTGTGGAGCTCTGCATTAGTTATCAGCCAATAGCTGGTCGCAAAATCGACCAGCCGTCTAGTCGCTGGATAGGCTGGCCGCCGACGCAAATGCCGAGCAGCCGCAACCAGCATGGCTGGGAACATTGTAAACGGTGTGGTATTTGGCACTACTTACGAATGGGATGGCATCGCCAGTGAAGGAGACTGGGTGTTGTCTATAAGTGGAGGGAAACGAACGGAACCATCAACCTAGGCATGCGCACAAAAAAAGAAACTAATTGGCTTTTCATACTAAAGCCAGGATGGAGAAAAGACAGCGAACGGGCCAACGGGCACAGGCGAATTACCAGAAGCATATTTCTGGCTCGGCTGTGACTTTCTCAGCCCTCTTCACCTTATACTCTTCAGTACTGGTTATATGTACGCATCCTGAATCCTTAAGCTTCTGCTTTAAAAAATACCGTCGATGTAGTAAAATGACAGCTACTGAAGTGGACTCGCTACGCTGTCTCGTGAGCAGGCAGACAGAAAAGCCAAATGGCGTGCAGACCATTGTTTTCAAAACCATATTGTTCTTACTTTCAAGGAATTTGTCAAACTTGACTAAATAAGGTGGCTGCGACTGGCCTTAGGCTTTCCTCGGGCTCCCACTGCGCAAGAAGTTCCGAGCAATCGGCTCTTCGTGAACAGGAATGTACAGGTACACTGGAACTGGCCTACTGCAGTCATCGACGATTTGCAACAATAAAAAACTCGTAGTTCCAGTAGTTGAGGATGCAAGCAAAAAGCCGAGGCAACCATGCATTGCATAGCCTTTCAGATGACCATATACACCATTAAGGCTCGGCAGTTTTTGGAGACACCCTTCGTTTTGGGGATATAAGCTAGCGGCCTGATATCACCAGCTTTGACCAACAGCTGATGTGAATGTATGCCCTTCACCAACTGGTACAGAGTAATACCCTCAGAGACCGGAATTGGTAAGTGTCACTCAACGTGTGTGCATAGCAGCCACGTAGTTATATTCGCTTTTGTTATGGACTTAGGCAATGACAGCCATATTCCTTCACCCACGATTGATCTGTATGATAAGCTGTGTTATTGCAACTTAAGAAAATATGGCACCCCTCATTTCTTCCTTATCCCTATTCTTTACATCCTTTATTAAGGTGACAAAATTGTGCACCGCGTAAACAAGCAACGATTGACATCAACAGCAAAGTGACCCCGTATGTATATACTTTGTTTACGATTTGTGTGTTAGAGATGGTGTTTTGTTACAAGTTTGACAAGCTACGAGTATTATGATGTAGAGCCCAGACTTGTCCCTGATTCCTCTTACGTGCAATTTTTTCGAATCCGAACCCAAAAATTAGAGCCGAATTGGAACAGGAGATAGCTTCCCAAATACATATATATATATATATATATAGATATAGATATAGATATATATATATATATATATATATATATATATATATATATATATATATATATGCGTCTGCATGAACTCTTTTCAAAAGCCAAGATTGCTTTTTAACTGATAAAAGTGGATAGGCCAATATAGATGAATTATTATAAATTCGTGCAAAGAAACAGAAGCACGAATGTGAAGGAGCATGAAATATGATATTCGAGGGAACTTGAAGACATCGGCAAGTCCGGTTTAATGGCAAAGGCTCCTGCCCTCCATATCAAAATGCGCGACTTTGAGCACTCGTATCTCCCATCTCCCCTGGGGATGAGTGAGGTTTCGAGCAGATTGCTCAAAGCTTACATGCTATATTTATATAAGCACAACTTAAATAGTAGCTCACGTTATGAAGCGCCACGCGGACCATGTAAACACCCAAAGGTTATGGTTGAATCATCTTGTGAAGCGGGTATTTTCAGGGTGGAACCAGTTTAATTCTGATTGTCACAAACCATGCGAATCAATTTCGAAACAGACTAAATTGAGCTACCAATGGAGCCGAATCAAACCCAAGTCAAAGCGAAATCGATTCTTAAATCGAATCTGTATTTCATTAGAGTTAACTACAAGTCTGGTTCGAAAAGAAATCCTGTGTTAATTTGACGGTCTTGCCTACCGCATTGATACCCTGGGACTTAAAGATCGGCCATTGTTTTCCCCCGCTCTTGACCAGTTCTCGCCCCTGACAGGAGTACGCGCACATCTTCAGTCTGCACGGTTTCGATCGTGTGGAGGACTTCTACTCGTTGGAGGCGGAGCAGCTGTCCGACCTGGGTATCGTCGACCCCGAGCACCGGTCCAGCCTGCTCGGCGCCGCCCGTGCTCTCTCTGCTGACCCTGGTAGGCGCTCCTGCCCCTGCTTCCCCGCCCCCCCCCCCCTCCCCCTCTGCGGAACGCCGCTGGGCAGTATCGCAGCCAGTATCGTCTAACGTGCCGTCGCGCTGCTGGAAGGTCAATGAGATGGACTTGCTTCGGGCAGGACAGCTTAAGTCTGGATTGTCATCGGTTGCGATTCATATGTATGGGGGCAACTGCCAGTGATGCGCCCCTGGTGGCGAGGTTAAATCAGTAAACTAAACCAGTAAACGTGACCAAAGCAGATGTACTAAGCCAGTCAACGCTCCCAGTGTCACGATGCTTTCATAGCACAAGGACGAATGCGGAATGAATAATGCATGTCGTCCGTGACTTGTTCATGTTTAACATCTGTGAAACCTCTTACGTTTGCAACCCAAGACCGATTTTTTGGTGAGCCCAATCCATTCCTCGTGTTGTGCTTTCCCGTGCCCTAAACGTTGTGTTGTGGTGTCTTGGTAAAAGGCGATGTTTTAGCGAAATTTAATCGCGCGTATTGCAGGGCAACCTTTGCAATCAGGGACTTTGACAAGCATAGTTTGGTGCGAATGCGCGCAACTTCACAAATCTAGCAAAACAATGTCGGTTCAGCGGACAATTTTCAGCTGAAATATTGTAACGTACGCCGCAATGCTACCGCGCACCGACGTCATTTGAGACGCAAACTTACTTTCTGTGTTGGATATTATCATTGGTGCATGTATCAAACACCCAACGAATGTCTTGATTCATGATTGGAAGTATAATGCGACCGGTACAGCTAACCACGGGATCACAATTTATATTAACTCCGGTTCTTAAGCTAATCGATTCACGATGCATGCCTCCAGCGGTGTTCGTAGACGTCGGGTCCCGAAAAATCGCCTGTCCCGCTCACCCGGCACCTAGCCATGCGTGCCTACCGTGCGCCCCGGCGCTCAGGCGCGTACATCACGGGGCCATGACCAACGCAACCGTAAAATGAAGCAGCGCGTGTGATGTGGTCGTGCGTGCTGAGCGTGGCCCCAGTTCATCCCGTGGTCGCCCGAATGAGCGCGGGAGAAGCGTTGAACGCGCACACCAATTAGATCCCCGCAGAAGTCGTAAATGCTTTACTGGCAGCTTTGAGCAGGAACTAGTCTTATGTTCAAAGACAGTGGTTGAGTGATGGTTTCTGTTCAACACAACTCTGTTTAAGATTTGGACTAATTCGTTGCGTGATTTGCTATGAAACTAGGGGCAGTCTGTCTGGGATGTTTGTTTTACTGTCATGGGCGTTATCAAACTAAGATCGTTATGAAACTCGGACCCATTCATCGTACCAGTGCAACTGTTGTTTAGCGGCGAGTTCTCGCAGAAAGGTTATACCGCGCTTTGTAACATGGTTGCAACATGGCCGCCCTGTTCAGTCACTCTGGGCCAGTGATAATGACTAGCATAGACGAGCCACTCAGGCGGGGTTTTGATAGCGCGAACTTACATGTCTGCCCCCATTGGTCAGTGTTCAGTACACTACCAATTGAACCGCAGGACGGCTGATGGGTACGCTCTGGAAAATCTTCGTCCCCACGGTCACACCAGCTGCCAAACAATGAAATTCAAAACGGTTTTCGCGGATTTTCAGCGCGAGAGATTAGTCACATTGAAACCGAGCAGAGCAGGGGTTGTACAGACGGCGAAATAGAGTACAGTAGCTGACCAGCGAGCGACAGTGTTTCCGTGCACAGTCGTGGAGAAGCACGGAGAAGCAGCGTCCCGGAGCCCAGTGTTACCTGTTCCTTTACACTGCCACAACCATGTTTGTGACCGCACAGTGTTGTGGACGATTTTCCGTCTGTGAGAGCTGACAGTGTTGGTGATCGGCTGTGTGCACCGCGTCACTTTTGACTGTCAGTGGCTGTCTTCAGACAATGCTGCGGCTGACCGCTAACCGCTGGCCCCCAGACGCCGGCAGCCCGCTCTCGCTGTGCGACTTCACTCAGCCGCTGCTCTCGGAGCTGATCCGCGACTCGGGCTGCTACGACGTCTGGCGGCTGACTGAGGAGACCGCCGCGCTGAAGGCCAGCTCACCGGCCGCGGCCGAACGCCAGCCGGCGGGTCGGGAGCCGGCCGACGGTGACGATGACGCCGACGGTGAAGGCGACGCCGACGCCGATGCTGACGCCGACGCCGACGCCGACGCCGATGCTGACGCCGATGCCGATGCCGATGCCGATGCCGATGCCGATGCCGATGCCGATGTCGACGCCGATGCTGACGCCAACGCCGACGCCGACGCCGACGCCGACGCCGACGCCGACGCCGACGCCGGCGGCCCAGACTCAGACGTCGAGCCGCCGCCGTCGCTCGTTCCCACCACTGCGGCCGATGACCGCTGCAGCGATCCCGGGCGGGAGGCCGCCGCGCCGCAGCCGCTCGACCCGACAGCCGAGCTTGACGGGCCCCGCAGCAGCGCCGAGCCGGCGGCCGAGCCAACGGCCGACACCGGGGCGGACGTGGTGCACGCGCGGCCCGCCGCCGTTCGCGCCTCCCCGCCGCGCCTGGACACCAGCCCCGTGGTCGACTTCGAGCGCAAGTTTCAGAACGCGCGCAGCGTGTTCGAACCGAACTGCGTGCGCCGTCAGATCCCGGTGGGGGTGCGGTCGCGGACGCACTTCAGCTCCCGCGAGCCAATCACCGTCGAGGACGAGGTGGCCGTGTGAGTGTGGTAGCGCGGATCTCGGCGCCGCCGCAGTTGGCGACAGTCGGGCGCGTTATGTGACGCGCTGAACTTGGGCCTGCTCCCGGAGTTTTATTTTCGGTGGCAGTCACCATGCAGTTATTCTGGAGCTCAATAAGTCTCAACCACTTTGAAGCGATGTTTGCGTCTTGTCACACCAGATGAGGCAAGTATTATATTTTGAAGAGCTGTGATAGCGTTGCCCCTCGAATGAAATGAAGCACAAGACACGTAGCCAGAATTGTGTGCATAAAGACAAAGGGTTTTTAAGCCATGTTGCGTGCCGTATGTGCGTCACTCATAAGGCATCAGTCTGAGCAGGACAAAACGATGTGTCCGCCTTAGTTAGACATGATAAGTCTTCCGTTGTCTGCCCAAGGCTATCATTGTCTGGTTGAGAACGCGGGGGAAGATTTCTCCTTTTGAGGCCCCTCCTTCATCACGTAGGCGCGGTGCTACTGTTTTGTCGAAAGTTGCCTAGAAGTGCGGGGCTCACAGACAGGCCACTCAGCCGTGCACTGCTCTAGAGTGGTGTCGATCTACAACGGCGTCTGTCCGCGTCCTCGCCATCGCCTTGCCGAGCTTGAAGACGTGTGTTCCCCTCCCCGCACCCGGAGGTTGGGTGGTGGGCTTCAGACACTCATACAGAACAATGCTCTGGCCTGCGGGAGTCATGCTAGCCTTGCCTCACTGCGCCGCTGGTCGCTTGTGAACTGACCCGACCACCGGCGCGCCGCCTCGCGTCTGGCCAGCACCGGCTGATCGTCGGCCGTGGGCTGGGTGAAGTGCTCTGTGTGTGTAATGGTGTATTTGTAGATGGTGGACACAAGTGCCTTGGCTCGTGGCGACACGCCGATGGGCTTAAATGGTGGCCGCAATGGCCAGTGGCGTTAATGAACGTGTTTGTCTGTGTGGAAGGCTAATATATGCGTGGCCAATGTTTGGAGGGTATGGAACCGGAATGTGGATGTGAGTCAATGAAGCGAATGGAAGCCGCCAGGTAACAACCCAACTTGTGGAATGCCTCGCTCTACAGAGCATTCCATGCACCACAATAAAATAGCGGTGGCTGGATTCATACACAAATTGACAGATTTTTGTCTGTCGAGCTGCGAAAAGCTGAAAATATTGTTAATGATTTGCCTCAGGTGCTCGTAATGCACATCCACGATACTTGCCATCGCATTTTACATAGTGGGCCGATATGCACCTTCCGCTAACAGTTTACCAATTAGTTGTTCCGCATGAAGATCTCCGATGTGCTGGCTGCCCCGGACGCGGCATTGCATCCCTGTCTCGCAGTCACGACTCGGCGCGTAACGTTCAGGCTCTCGTCCCAGTGACGTCACGCTAGTAATGGAAGATAACGCGAAAATTACCGGACGGTTTCACCATAATTTTGTGACCTTGGTGGCTGCTGTTGAGCCGGTCTTCTTGAGGGATGGGGCGTTGTGGATGCTTTGGATCTGCTGACAAGAGCCGCGGGCATATGCGCCTGCGTGACTCGTAAACGGTAGGTGCATGGATGAAAATGGAGCTTTATGGCTTATTTGTAGTGTGCACCGGAATGTCTATTTATTTCAAAGCAGGGTTTGAGTTGTTGGTTTGACGTGTCGGTAATCTTTGTTGGTACCTTTATGGTATGTTGTCCTGTTTGCTCATTGACAAAACCAGTAGGAAAAATACATCCGCTTCTGGATGCTTGCACGACATGGGTCTCAGTTGTTTTTTCGGACGACTTGCAGTGGTTTCTGCTGTAGGGGAGGTAGGTTATATATAATTTGTTCTTTTAAAAGGGGGTAACAATATTGACCTTAGTTACATCAGTGCATTAAGTCATATACAGTGTTCTCTAGCTTTCAGTCAACAATGTCTAACATTGTTGGCTGCAGCTAACACCCATAGGCCACACCTTTGTCTCTGCACAGCATTGTCAGATGCACAGTAAAAAAGATAATATTGCTGTGCAATTAAGCAAATATTGCTGTGTAATATATAGTTTGTTTATTTTTATGCTGCATGCATACAGGTAAACTGGACTCAGACCAGGTTGAATTGTTTTGAAATTATGTTATTCCAAAAGGATGTTGGTTTTTTTTTTACTGGAAACTAAATTTGCAACACCATAGCTTCTTGAAATATTGGCTCTCTATCTCTGTGTGCTGAGATTGGCTGCAATTGTCCATGAAACTTTCAGCGTATTTATTACAGTATGTAGGCACTAAACTTGTTGCTGCAGATGCCATACCAGACAGAACATGTTCTGTCATGACATGCAATTTGTACTGTCTGGTGTCAGCACATATGGCTTACAGTGGTACCTATCCCTAGAGCACATTCTGGAGTCAGTATGTTTTCTAGCAAAGGAAGCCTGACACTAATATACTCATTTGATAACCCGTATCCACTACAGTTACCAGTTCTACACATTATGATCATGCCAACCAGCCTTCAAACACAGCTAGCTGCCTCCCACAGAATAGATGGATAGCTTGATATGTAATACAATCAGTTTCTTTATTTTTGTGCATATACATGTCACAATTTGTTGATCTTGATTCAGCTAGTTCATGTATGCCTCTATCACCTACCCATTGCCTGTCATCCTTGTCATATCAGGGCTATTTTTGTAAATTAATCCAGAATGAAGCAATTCCAGGAATATGAGAGCCTTTTCCAGTATGAAGCTGAGTAGCTCCAGGCAGTGCCTGTGGGTACTCTTATCAAGGTTCAGGGATATGTTTGGTCTGGAGTTTCATAATCTACTGAAGGTCATATTCATTAGGACTGTTCACAATATGCGGTGTTTGGTAACTGGGTTATGTCCTCTGATTTATGACAGTCAAAGCACTTTTAAAAAGTACATGCAACATGAATTTCTTCACTTGCAAGCCTATAAAATCCAGCATGCTTGACCCATGGTTTGGGAAAAATTGTGTTGGCTTCAGCCATTCAAATGTGCAGGGACAAAGATATTGCACATACACTGGACATTAAAAGGGGATACCAGGATTAGATCCTCAAGTCCTGGGGTTGATGAGAGTTTGGGGTTGATGAGAGTCAGTGTCATATTTTGTTTCCAATCTTAAGCTGGAGCACATTTGAGCTGGAGAAGGCCTTCTAAGAAATTGCCAATGATAGTTTGCATAGAACAAACAGAATGTTCATATCTTAAAAAGGAGTTTTTGAGAATTTTTGAAAATTGTGAACACTGCAGCTATCCCTACTTTTACAGTTCAATTCTCCACAGAGTGCACGGAACAATCTGTCTTCCGCCACAGCGCTATGAACTAAAATACTGAAGGCACTGTCATGAGGAAGTACAGCTGGTTTTATGTCATTCTGTCAGGGCATTGTTGAAGTCAAAAGTGTGGCGAGTTCTATGTGCCTTTAAAGGAAGAAAAATTCGGAAAAATGAGACTTGTGTAATAAATGAGAAGAACCTGGAGTGGCCTTCTTCTTATGTAACTTTAAAAAACGACTGCTTTCGGTTGGCTCAAATCTTCCAAAATATTGCAAGATTGGTGGGTTTACCACTACCACCACAACCATTCGGCGAAGCCTATGCTTCCAGTAAACGACAGGTACCCCATATCTGCAATCAATTTTTTCCACTAGTCTTCGCGAAATGGTCGCATATGCGATGCAAGGACGCCAGTGCGCGGCGTTCACAATAATTCGGCGCTTTCCATTCACTGTACATCCCAATGGCACTCTTGTCCCGGCTGCGGCCATAGTATGAAGATCTATCACATCTCCACGTTCGGATGCTCTTCCCGCCTGCCGGTCGCTTGCCTGTCACAAATGTCATGTTAAGTCAAACCGCGTGGCGCGCCTGTCGGCAGGGACGCCTGACCTGCTGTGCCGCCGGTGGCCCCTGCAGACGGTGACCGGTCCTGCTGTAATGGAAGACGACCGCTCGGCGTCCGGCTCGCCGGCCTTCAGCAAGCCGGGCACACCGAACCCGGCGGCGTTCGACCCGCTCGCGGCGGCAGCGGCTGCTCAGTACCGGCCGCCTTCGCAGTCCAAGTACTCGCAGCTGCTGGCCGTCATCGAGGACATGGGCCGCGACATCCGACCCACCTACTCGGGCAGCAAGAGCAGCGCCGAGCGTCTGAAGCGCGGCATCGGCCACGCGCGCATCCTGGTGCGCGAGTGTCTCATCGAGACGGAGCGCAGCGCCAAGTCGTAGGCGGCGGCGGCGGCGAGCCTCGACTCCGCGGACGCGACTCTGGTGACCGACGGCGCCTGGCTGGAGGTGGTGCTTTGTGGCGGGACTTTGTAGCCTGCAGCTGAGACGTGTCACGTTTGGACGGTGGAGCATTTATTTCGGACGGTGGAGTGCGAGTGGGGACTAATAAGCCTCAAGTAGGGGTTGTGCGCCCCGATAGCGAGTTGTCTCGGTGGTGAGCGAGACGTGACATTTGTGGCGGCCCGGAGAGGTGCAGCAGGTGGTCCGTGCGCGATGGAGTCCGCTGTCAGTGGGCGCCTGCTCTGGAGCTGGGACACCGAGTACCCCGCTGACACGGCCGAGTTCTGCCCGCTGCCGCCCTACCGCCACCTGCTGCTCTGCGGCACGTACAAACTGCGGGACGGCCAGCCGCCCGACCAGGCGCCAGAGGGTGGGTGTGTCCCCAGCGTGTGAACGGCGCGCCACTGCGCAAGAGGACGTGGAGCCGCTGAGTTCGGGGAGTGTGGCTCTCATGACATATTTACTCTCATTAGCACACTCATTATTTGACTTGCAATGCCTCCAGCTCGTAAGCATGGCGTTGCGCCTTTGCTTGGGCGTGGCGTTTCCAAGGTGGTGTCTGGACCAAGGCAGCACATCCGTGTCCTAGCTGTACCTGAAGAAACTTCAGGAAGTTTTTTACATGTTTTTTATTCAGGCTGCCAGGACGCAACACCACCAGGCTTGTACATTGTGAGGTGTTAAGTGCTCCCTCCAGATATTTTGTCATAGGTTTGCCGGACCACAATGCCAGGTTGAAAATGGTACGTTGGTCAATAACAGGTTGGAGTGATAGAGCACAAAATCAATAAAATTGAACACTGGAACACTGGTTGTACTATGGCTGTTTTTCCGTATTTTTCAACGGTGGTGCTATTATAGGTGGACGCGTGAAAGGTGATGCGGAATATCGTAGCATTATCTTGATCGTAGCATTATCTTGCATGCAACGTGGTGCAGAGCCTGGTAATGCACTTCCTGAAAGTTCTGGCTAGGATCGTGTGCGTTGTGATCGCAATGGCCGCCAGGCTTCGTATGCAGCTTTGTCGGGTTTTGGAATCAGCAGCAATACCCTGAAGCTCTTCGGGACGGTTCTCCATAGGCCACATGGGTGGGCACATAGGCTGCATACCGGGACCATCCATCGCCCATGGCGCACAGGGCGAGTGGGGCCTCGACATATATCGACAAAGCTGAAATATTGTCTTTAGGGTCGGGCGCTGGTACCTCTTTGTTTTTCCAAGTTCTCGACATTAGTATGTATACAAGCAGTCACCATGCACAAAAGATGACCTAAAAGCCCAATCATCACCATGCACAAAATGTACCAAGGAAAATTTGTGATATTTTGTCTCACAAACATACTCAATTGGATGAATCTGTGTCTCCAAAAACGTTTTTGTTTTGTTTTGTTTGCAACCAAAAGCACTTCATTTCCTCAAGAACCAGGGCAAGTGGTGACTCCAGTCAGTGCCATCTTAGGTTCCCATACATATGACAGCGCGGGTATTGACGCTTCTTCACTTATTGTTCCAAGTGACCGTACTGTAATGGCACGGGTTAAAAGTATGCATACGTCATGCCGGCCTCTCATTAAGGTACGTTGGGGAAGCTGTGTGGCAGTGGCCACGCAAACGCTCATGGCCATGGTTAGGAGAAAATGGACAGGGTTGTATCATTTCTGCTTTTAAAAAAAACTGGGCGACAGCTTACAACACCAACCTTCTTTGGTCTCTTCCACCCGTATATAATGTCCACTTAGGCAAGAACTTGCGGAGTTAGAATAGCGAGGACAGCGAAGCTTTGGCAAAAAAGTGGCATGCAAAGCAGCGCACGATGCTCCAGCGTCTATGTAATAAAAAAGCTTGTCATATTTCAGTTGCGTGAGAGTAACGTGCGATCGTAGCCTTTGCTAAGCACGGTTCGTGGTGTGCCACGAGATGTTCACTCCTGCCATTCAATTGGTGCGATCCATGGGCCGTGAAATGTATCCCGTAGCTCGACCCCTAGGTCAGTTAGGTCTGGTGCATGTGTTTCTACGAAGTTCAGCCCTGGCCAGTTATCCGCTCGCATTCCACCAGAATGAGTCGGCGGGAACATGACCCCGATGCGGCTGCCTTTTGGGATTGTGGGCGGCGGGCGGTGCCTGGCTCGCCCACGAAGGACCTGCATTGATTGGGACGGGGGAACCTCCTGTTTGATACCGCGTTCATCGATTAGCCAATCATGGTCGAACCACGGCCGCCTGCCACGTGGGCCGGCTAGTGGAAGCTCGGATCGGATGGTGTCCGATGCGAACCATGCCGTGTGTCTGGCGGGCGCACTGTTTGTTACCATTGTACCTCTACAACTAATCATAAATGCTGACATACTATAATTGCGCATTAAGGAACGTGCGTGTTTTAGTTTTGGGCGGTAAAGGAGTGGGCAGCCTGGCAATCTGTCCAAGTCGGTGTCATCCGATCGAGGGCTGAGATATGCACGTGCTACAAGTGCAAGTGTTGCTGTAGCCTCGCGCAGTTGCTGTTGAACCATGGCTGTTTCGGAGGTGAAATAGCCGGGCGGGCGTGCTCTGCGTGTAACGTCGGCCTACTGTTTGCCAGCCTGCCGTCGGGACGGCCGCCTGCACCTGCTGGACGCCGCCGCCGGCCGGGAGCTCCAGCGGCTCGACACGGCCGCTCTGCTCGACACCAGGTGGTGCCCGGTGCGGCAGGCCGGCCGGCTGCTGGCCGCCGCTGCCGATTCGCTGGGCCAGCTGCTGCTGTTCGAGCTGCTGGAGCAGGAGCGGCCGGAGGAGGTGCGGCTGAGCCGGCTGACCAGCCGGGCCGTGGCTGGCGCCGGTCGGCTGGCGCTGGCGCTCGACTGGCGGACGCCGCCCGAGGGTGGCGGTCCGGCGCGGCTGGCCGTCAGCGACTCGTCCGGCGCCGTCACGGTGCTGGAAGCTGGACGGCCAGGGACTGATGCCGCTTTGGACGGCCACCTGCCACAGCTACGAGGCCTGGACCTGCGGTTTCCACCACCGCAACGGGAACCTCGTCTACTCCGGTAACGGACGGCGAAGCCCAGTAGCACCGCTCTGCTCTAACCGGCTGTGATCGCGTCCGCGTCGCGCAGCGGTGCAGGGAGCTTCCGCTTTTTGTGATGTTTCCGATGCAGATTTGAATGGAGATCCCGAAATTCGGCATCGCTGACGAATCGATGACGTCATCAAGTTGGGAATTCGAGTTTTGGTAGTGGAATTCATAGAAACCCAAAGATGGTGCTGATGATTTATACTTTCCCTACGTCACCACTTACAACCTTGTTTTGGTTCATGGCGCTTTCATTAAAACACGTGGGCGCTGTGGTTGCGGCGTTATCATAGTTTGTATGCGCGCATTTCCGTCATTACGTCATTTTCTGACGTCATCACCGGAAAGTGGCTGGGTGCAGAGACCTAAAAACTTAAGAGTCGTGACCAGAGCACGAGATAACCTTGGGGGCCAAGCTTTGTGCGGATATCAAATGCCGGTAAGTGCTCAACTGGTTGGCTTGGCACAGAATAACCCGAAGATCAACCTCGATGCAGCTAGCCGTCTTATAAGTGACGTCATTCGAACATCGACGGATGTAATCAAACAATGGTGGGCGGCGCGTCCGTGAATCAAACGCAGTCAGACAACTGAGGGTGGCACGTTCGCCTGGAGCAGTCCGTGGTTCGTCCCGACGTGCCCGCACTCTCCCAAAACGCTCCCTGGGATCGCCTCTGAGTAGTAAGGGAAGCTCAAGACGTGACGGGCTATGTCAGATTGATTCTAGGAGAAGCCACCAATTTGCAGAAGACTTTCTCTAATCTAATAATTTCAGAAGACTTCCTCCAATTCAAATCTGACCCTCTTGCCCCGCATGTAAATCTATTGAAAGCGACGGGTTATGGTGGTAACTGGTGTAGTTCCCGTTGGGTATCTACAGGGCCGAGGCCACATGGCCGGGATTGTGATCCTTTGGGTCGCTGGAGTCCAGCGCTTCTACCGTACAGCTCGGTCCGGCGGCTTCGGTCCGCTCACTAACACCTGATGCAGACGTGAGGGCTGCATCAGCCAGAGCGATGGCGCAGAACGGCTCTGCTGGGAAGAGCAGTAGAGAAGCACCGAAGGTTGAGATCGCCCAAAAGTGGATTTCCATGCCTTTTCCACTCCTGCGCATCCATCCGCCCTGCCCTAACATCAGGCTTCCTCCTGACGGATCCTCATTCCCTGCTGAGAAATAACAGCATCCTACGTGAAGTAAGACTCACTTGCAGGGTGAAACGCACAGGGTTTCCGGTAACGGGAACAGACTAACGCACCGTAAGTCCTTATAATGTCCCGGTGCAGCGTCCCCAAGTGCAGCATACACCCCTGCCGCCGGGGGGCCGGCACCAGGTCACGACCGTCGTCCGTTTGGATGGATCGGGCGGGGCCAAATGTGTAGCAGAGACGGCTCCGTGTATGATGTAGCCAGCGCGGCAGCCCGCCTGTGGCCGGTCGGCTGCCGGGCAGATGCCGACGCGCGCGCGACACGCCAAAGCGCCCGTGTGAACTGAGCTTGACCCAGCGCCGCGCGCGCCAACAGGCGGCGACGACCTGCTGTTCCGGTGCCACGACGTGCGTCAGAAGCCCGACCAGGCGGTGTTCACCAGCCGCGCGCACGAGGCGGGCGTGACCTGCGTGCAGTCTGACCCGCTGCAGGAGGACACGCTCCGCACCGGCAGGTCAGTCCCTCTCACCGACGGGTCAGTCCCTCTCACCGACGGGTCAGCGCTGTTCGTCTGTGTTCTTCCGTCACCATGGGCGAAGCCTGCTCTGCGGGGGCGCCACGCCGGCACGTCAAGCTGCTGAGGCTCTAAATAGTTATTTTAACTATGCTATCTTCACCCACTGGTTACTCCAGGGCATGGTCGGTTGTCTTCTGATCTCTTGTGAAGGTCCCTGCTTCCTGATGGCTCACCTTCTACTTCGACCCCCACTAACGTGCCCAGAAATGCACTCTCTGCAGACGACGACCCGCCCCCTCCCCCCCCCCATTATGGCTAGCGTTGTCGGCACAGCAGCTGTTTGGCGGTCCGAGGGGCCCGCTGCAGCCAGCCTCACTTCCCCTCCTCCGCCAGCTACGACGAGCACCTGTACACGTGGGACGCGCGCGCCCCGCGCCGGCCGCTGGAGCGGACTCGACTGGATGGCGGCGTGTGGCGAATCAAACGGCACCCGCGCCTCGTCGACCGCCTCCTCACCGCCTGCATGTACGGCGGCAGCCACGTGACCGACGCCAGGGGCGCCACGGTCGCCAGCTTCCGGCGCCACGCCAGCATCGTGTACGGCGCTGACTGGTGTCGGCTGCCGGCGGCGGCTGTCGCTGTGGAAGGTGACGGCGACGGCACCCACCGGCTGGAGGCGGACCAGGGCGACCAGTGCGATGAGGGCACGCGGGGCAGTGGGCCCAGTGTGGCGGTGACCTGCTCGTTCTATGATAATTTGCTCTGCGTTTGGGAGGCGTGAGCTAGCGTGTGGATGCTGTCGGGTGATGGTCCTTGTCGGTTCGGGTTGGTTTCGTTGGTGTTGAACGCAGCAAGTCTGTTCTTCGGCTTGTGACGTGCGCGCGGTTTAAGAAGTAGTTTTGCTGCCGGGTAAGAGCTGCGTGATTGGGTCGGCGTGCTGAGCCGTTCAGTTCACTTTGCGCAGGGATGCTTGTCGACTGGCTCTCTTGAGGTAACCTGTCGGCCTCTGGTCGCTGGCGCTGAACGGGGCGCATACGTGGACAAGACAGACACCAGGGCACCTGCGAGAAGCAGTCGTCTGTAGGGCTAAATGAGCGATGCTCCAGTCGAGTGCCTTCCACGCCCGTAGCTGTAAGTGCGTAATAAAAAGGGTCGGTCCAGTAGCGTTCGATACGTCTATTGCGAGAGAGTTGAAGCCTGACAATGGCTGGCCGCGAACCGGCGAATCACCAGCGCAGGCGGCCAGCGCGCTCCACGCGGTCACACAAATAAAATGGCAGGGACACGGACGACCACACTCTAAGACTCCGCACGCACAGTGCTGGAAAGCGCACATCACATCTACGGCGGCCGGTACGCACGAGCCGTTCACGACTAGCCTGGCGCCAGCTGACTAGTGGAGCGTGACGCCCCGCGCGCAGTGTCACGTCCCGCGGCCCTGAGGCGGTGCCCGTCACGGCGACGCCCGGCGGCGTCGCCACGCGTCACGGAGCGGCCCTGCGGCGGCGGCGCGGCTGCCGGGGCGAGGCCCGGCCGACGCGGGCTGGCTGCGAGAGGGGCGGACTGACAGAGGCGGCGACACTATGCCCACCGCAGACCGACCCGCCGCCGCGCCGCGCGGGGTCGACGCGCGTGACCTGAATGTAAGTAGTAAAGCGCGGCCGCGTGTCCTCGTGAAGCGAACAACGTTTAAGCCACTGCAACTCTAACGTGCGAGAAGGTGCGATGGCTGAGCGGCGGGCGGCGCGGCTCGCCCTGGCCCGAGGCCTCGCTGGTGGCCTGCAAGAGCTGTGGTCCGCGGATCGGAGCCGCTTCGTCCACGCCGCTCGTGTACTTGACGCACGTACAACACCGCCGAGCGAACGCGCCGTGCGTCAGCTGCCCTATAGGCTCCACATAAGAGCTTTAGCGTGTCCCACTAAGTGGCGTCACATTGCGCAAACCCGGGCTGCGCGGGAAGCGTTTGCTTAGATTGCGTGCCTTGCTTTTCAGCCGTTGTGCATGATGAGCTCCAGCTCTTGGTAATCCAGCAGCCGCCGGACATCCTTGTCCCGGACTAGTAACGTGTTCGGCAGCTTTAGGACCTCCTTCACCATCTGCAACCATGGACCAAATCAATCCAACGCATCGCGAAATCCCCTCATGGCCTGCCCAAACAAGACACGAAACTCACACTCACTTTTGGCATTGGTTGCGAACCAGTGACAGGCGGCTAACCTCATGTAAGCAAGCGCAAGTTGGTTATTCAGCATAGCAGAGAGAACGGCCAGAAATCCACAGAACAACCCACGTATTCAGCCAATGTTTACCGATCGCTGTATTGAACGGCAAGGGACAGCCGTAATGCCACTCGGTGCAGCGCGTACTGACCTTGACAGGGACGCCGAGGGCTGCACAGCTGACTGACAGCAGGCGCAGCCAGGTCAGGTCACTGGTCGGCAGGTCGACCAGAACAAAATGGCGGCTAGGAGAGTCGGCCACCCGCACTTTCAGTACCAATTCTGAAGCGGGCAAAACAGGGAAGGTCACCTCGGTATCGGGTCCTCAGAAAGACACGGAGTTGGTGGGGCCGTTCACTGCATGTGACAGTACATGTACGACCGAAGGCTGGGGAAGCGAACAAGCAGACTGTGTCTAGGTAATGCTTCACACATTTTGGATTTTGTTTTTGCAGACAAAAAAACCCGGCTCGGTCAGGGTAACCCTTTGCACAGTTGCTAACGGCGTATCCTACATGCTACGCCACAGTTCGTAAGGCCGAGTCAGTTCTCCGCTTGGCAATCACGTGACTGGCAGATGAAATAGAAACTTGAGACCACATCGGTCAGGTTCAAATGAGAACATACAGAACAAATGATTATTTTCAATTCGTATCAACCTGGGGACACCATCATGCCACAGCGGGACATTTCAGAGCAGTATGTGAGTGATCTGATACACAGACTGTTTTGGTTCCTGCAGATATGAAGCTAAAACACATTCCAGAATGTTCAGGGCGATCCACGCGAGACTGCGCGGATGAGGAGACTATCGTACGACGTGAAAGCCTATATTCTCTCCCCCTGCCACCTGATCGCAAAAATTGTATTGTTATCCGTGACTGAACAGTAAATCAGCAGTATCTCACTTCGAAAGAGAGAAATATCCGCCTTCAGTCGCGTCATCCCGTCCCCGGGCCTTACCGTTCGGAAACGTGTTTCCCTGGCGTTGCGCGCATGCGCAGTGACAGCAGCAGTGGCGCTCGCTGTCGGTGCTGCCGTTGACAACTGGGCTGCTGCGCCCCTCCGCAAGCTGAGCTTCACACAGAGACGACGCCACGCCCTCGGCCATCAGCAGCGACATCTGGCTGAGCGCGGCCGGGCCGTGTCCGTTGAAGAGGGCGCCCCAGTCGGGATGACGCAGCGGTGAGTCGGTCGACGTCGGGTCCAGCTTCATCGCTGCCGGCCGGGGAGGGGTCAGGGCGAGCCTGTTTGGTTCACGTCAACGTATGGAACGTCGTGTTGTTGAAAAGGAAACATTTTCTCATTATGGAACTTTTTAACGGGTTGTATCAACTTCCTGTGAAAGTTGGAAAGCGGGGCTGGAGCCCCCCCCCCCCCCCCCCCCCAACTGAACAGGAAACTACCCCTATGGCCAAAAAAGGCAAGGACGAAAGAGCTAGACAAATGAATCCCAACAACGCTTGCCCGGAAATGATTTTAACGCAGCCTTGTGAAGGGCCATGAGCCCTTCATATCCCGACCAAGCCAAAGCTAACCGCATCTGCAAAGACCAATTCGTGGCGCACCATCTACTTCGTTAGTGAGACCGCAGCCGATATTGAGTTGCAAGCTTGGAATGCACGATTATGCAATGATCTTCATAGCGTTTTTTCATAACTTCGCTGGTGAAGAAATTAAACAAAATGTTAGAAGAAGTTATTGGTGACTAGCCCTCTTTGTGTAGATGCATTCAATTTTGTGTTGTCTGACAGGAAATTGTTGTAGCCATATCGTTCTTTCAAACTTTGTCGTGGACTTAATGGTGGCTATGGTTTGTCTGATGGCAGTAACTAAGCACATATTTAATAATTTTTAAGTAATGTCCTTTACCGTTAAAGGATTTAAAAACATATTTGCCAGGTTTGGCACTGTTAAAAATGAACTTACCACACGTCTATCCGTTGCCTGCGGTCGTTTTCTGCCGCATGTTCCCCCGCCCCCCAACTGACTTTTTCCAGAAAAAAGTAAAAAACATTTCGATCTGATTTCTTTGGGTTCACCGACATTCGAGGATTTTCGTTGGATGATCGCCTTGTCTGAAAGTAAAAGGTGCATGAGTGGCTATGTAATGTGTATGTGTGTGATAGCGTTTTTTGTTTGTGTGTGCATCGTGCATTTATTGTTTTTAAAACTGGACTGTTTCCACCATTGGGCTTTTACCTGTGGACTGCTTATGCCTAAAACACAATGAACATATAAATGTTGAATGACATGACGGCCATTTTGGAATGAATTTCAGCAGAATGCAGTGAACGCGTGTTCTACACCAAACACATGTTAATCAATAAAAGGCTGCCATTCCCTGATCAACGTGCCAGTGTTTCCAATACATTTATTTAGTTTCGTTGCACTCATCTTTATCTTTTTGCATTCGCCACGGAAACTTACAAGAATGTCCTCGAAGCAGGACAGCGGGGTACATGACCTTCGCCACACATCAGTCATCTTCCACCGGGCCACACCCATTTACTGCCACAATGTACTGCGACACACTGTTTCAGAAATTCCTGAGACGAGCAAACTAAATTTAACACCGGCCGAATGGTCTCAGCTCGCACATGGCGCCCATCAAGTTACGTGCAGTTACGTCATCCCTTTCAAAAGTTAAAACCACCCAGATTTTGTAAATGTCACAGCCTGCGGTCAAACACCAAAGAAAGTAAAACGTTACAAACGTTTTTTTATAATTGTTATAATTGTTGGCAAACCAAAATCCTATAAATATCACAACCCTCCGTCAAACACCATCTAACGAATAGGTGGGCCAGTCGAGCTCATTCTTAACATTGATGGTACGGGACATACTGGCGTACCAAGCATACACGGTGTCATGACCTCAGGTCAGGTCAAGCCCCATTTATGACTCACAATTTAAAACACGAAGTTCGCTGCCGAACGCTATCTCATGCATCACAGGGTCCATCGACCTAAAACTCCATTAATGGAATGGAACAAACGAGCACACCAAGAGATTGTAATTTCATGACCCGTATCCGTCCGTAGATCACACCATGGTCGCCATATGAGGCCCATCGGGCTTTGAGGCGCAAAAATCGCTGCCTGGAACTATCTTAGACACTACCACGTCTATCAAGCTGTGCCTTAACTCGATGGAACGACACAAACTAGCACGATACGTGCATGCAACGTCACGACCCTAGGCCAAGCCATTTGAGAAACATGCACCCCGTGTAGCGAGACCCTAAGCAGCTGCGACGGTCTGTTAACACTACACCGGGAGCCACGGGATCGATTAAGTTAAATCTGGCCTTGCCCGCGGGAACGCATTCGTGCATTTTTTATGCATCTAATTTCATTACGTTAAGTCATGCCAATCGCAATTTGGAGCCTTACAAGCTTAAACACGAATACTGCTGTCAGTGCGATGGTACGGCGAAGATTATCTCAGGAATTACTGGGCCGGCTCATTTGAATTGTGTGTTGACGGAAGGGCACGACTTATAACATCATGCCCGTCATGCCACTACTTTACGCCTCCTCCAGTCATTTCTGGATACGCGCATCGTTTAAGGGAGCGTTCCACATTTGCATGCCATCTTGAAGATCATTCGGCGCAGTTGCCGCTCTGCACTTCCTATAACCTACATTCATCTAGTTTCTGTGCTATGCGTCCGCGAAGATGTGCCGACTATTTCGAGGAGCCTTTTTCCAGGTGAGCCAGGCATGTATAAGGCCATAATGACGTCAGTCAAATCCTGCCATTCCGTTAGTCCTGCGACGATTAAATCCAATACAAACGTAAGTGTCCATTCGTTCATATCTGGCGTTTGTGAGAACAATTAACAGATGTAACGACCGTCAATTGGCCCTCAATGAATATTGTGCAAGGTACGATGACATAATCAAACCATGACGTATTAAGCAGTACATTTACTAATTAAAGAAATACTGTGTCTAGAGCAGCCTTTTCCACTTAAAGGCATAACAGTAGTTATAAGTGGGCTTATTTCATCATATCTGACGTTTGCCTAAACATCATCAAATGTGGAACATTCCCTTAATTCCGGTACTTATCAACTAACCACCAGTTACGCTTTGCCGGGAACAACTGGATCGGATCAATAAAACCTAACATTGATGGAATGAGACCAAATAGGACAATTTCATGTCGTTACGTCAAACGTGTCCGAATTTTGATTTCAACAAGTTTGAACAAGAAATGTTTGCCAAACACTTCCTCAGGAATTACTGAGCCGATCAGGCTGAGCCTTGCACCATGCGAATAGCATGTGCTGGTACGTAACACCTGCACAATTTCGCGACCACGCGTCGAGTTGTTTCTTAGCTATTCGCCTGACAACGTGTGGCACTTGGCACATTCAATACCACAACCTACTGCCAAATACGTCAGAAGGCACAGGACCCACAAGGCTTAAATCTTGCATGATTCAAACGGAACAGACTAGCGCATTTTGGATACGCAGTTTGATGATCATAGGCCCAACCATGCCCCGAAAATGAGACTCATTCACAAGTTAAAGGGAAATGTTTCACATTTGAAGATACCGAAGCAAGCATCAGATATCATGTAACAAGCTCACTTATAGCTATTGGTGTGATTCTTAAGTGGAAAAGACCGTTTTAGAAAGCACAATTCTCTGTTTAGCTGAATATGCTACTCAATGCGTCATGGTTTGATAACGTCATCGTACCTTGCACAATAGTGGTCGAGAGCCGACTGACGGCCGTTATACCTGGAAATCGCGCTCACGAACACTAGACATGAACGTCTCCATGATTATATATGTTTTTAGCCATCATTCCCGCATTGCTTATGGAATGGCAGGATTTGAATGACGTTATTATGACGCCATGAATGCCATGGCGACTGAAATACTCTCCCTGACATACCTTCCACCATTTCGCAAGCGCGTAGTTCAGAAACTAGAGGGGCTCAGGTCTTAAGAAGAGCAGGACTGTGAGCAGCACCGAAATGTCTTCAAGATAGTCATTTCAGGTCAAAACCCTATATAGGTGTGGACCACTCCTTTTAAAGCCAGTATCCCACATTTGGAGCATGCTTCAAAAATATACTCTGGTGAAATCTCAGGACTAATCGCGTCCAATAATAGCACTGGGTAGTGTGCAAGACATAGCAACGTAACAATCTTAATTATTGTCGAGCCTAAATCACCCTGTCAACGCCTGTAACAGCACTACGCCTCTTCTCCACAGTCGCGACCACCGTTGTCATAATAACCACCGCGCGCACCTCTACTGGTACGAAAACAGAACATTTATGATTGGTCCAGCGGGCAAGGGTTTGTTACCGAGAAGCGGATTGGTTGAAGTTTGAATCAGTGCGTCACTGATCATTTGATGCATTCCCAAAGCCAAAGAGAGCCGCCGTGGTAAACGCCATAGCGGAGAAGTGAAGGCCATGTCAGATGGTTTCGTTGAATGCGCTGAATACAAGCTTCGTATTCGCATATCTTTTTGTCTAATTAGGATGTTTCAAGCTTTCGTGGCATATATTACACAAACATTTCAGACATTAATGTTATGTTAACACTACAGAGCACACGTTGGAAAACCAAGGCAGATGAAATGTGTTACTTTTGTAGTGGTGAGCACGGAGTCAAATGAGGCTCCTCCCGCAGAGTCGGCTACCTCAAATAGAGATTTTGAGCTATTCAGACAAATTTCGAGAAAACTGGCATTTCTGACCAGATAATACGTGCCAAATGTAACTATAGGTGAAAAGTACAAAAATGTTGGATACCCCTTTGAAGCGTGAGTAATGCCGCGGAACCCTACCTCAGGGACTCACTACCGAGTTTATCGAGGCGAATCCTAAGCCGATGATAGGACCCGGACTAGCAGGGTACGCACATGCAGTCCCACGCCCCTAAGTTGCGCAATTTCCGAGTCATGCGCCTCCCGGTGTGCGAGATTTATTACCAGCCAGTCTACTGCCAGATACTGTTTTACGGACTACCGAGCTGATCGGGCTGAATTTTACATTAGTGGAACGGAATGAACGAGCACACCATGCATATCCGACGGCATTACCTTATGCCAAACCATGCCTGAACTGAGAGCCTGACAAGTTCAAACATGAAGACTGCTACCAGCAGTATCTGAGGCACTAAGGGAACGATGGAGCTCAAGCACGTACCATTGGAACGACTTAGATTACCGAGTTGTGTGCACAC